AGATCAAACCACATTCCTTATGAAGTGCGATAATTTATCCTATTCTGTAGCTGCACTAATTAAATCCATGTACAAACGTAGGTTATATAACAACGTGTCATAAACCCATTCTAGTATTGTATGCCTCTGTATATTTTATAAAACATGTCATTGTATGGCAATGCTTGTTATAAATTTACGAGTATTTTATTTTTATCACGTATTTTGTGCACCATTAATAAATAAATTCATCACTGTCCACTCTAACTATTTTAGCACTTGCAGTGCTTTTAAGAACATTAGTGTCAAATAGGTCCACGCTGGCCGGGCGATGTATATCTTTTAATATATTTTACCTCCTGTATAAATTGATGTAATTTTATGTATACACCGCTGGACACTGAAATAAACTATTTTTCTTCTTCTTCTTCTTCTTCTTCTGCTTCTTCTTCTTCTATAATCGGAAGACTGTTCCCGTCATGCACTCATTCCTAAGGATCACTCACTGACTAGACCCTTATAGAAAACAAATCATATTTCGTTTTCTCTTGGTCACACAGCAGATGGAAATGGTTATGTCAAATTGGCTGAGTATGTCTCTGATTGACAGCATGGCTCGCAATAGAAACACAAATCATTGGTAAATAACTGGAGACAGACTTTAAAACAATAACTTCGGGTAGCCTAGTGGTTAAAGCGTTCACTCGTCACGCCGAAGACCTAGATTCGATTCCCGACATGGGTATAATGTGTGAAACCCATTTCTGGTGTCCCCCGCCGTGATATTGCTGGAATATTACTGAAAGCGGCGTAAAACCATACTCACTAACTCTACCACCGTGGCTGGCCGGACGGGGACAGCATCAGCCTCGCTTCCGGAGAACCCGGCAGAGACAGCATTGGAAACTATTCAGGTTTAAAGTAATGACTTTGTGAATATTTTATGTCCGTTTCAGTTACTTTGTCAAACGTGTGTGAACACACACAATTGAATAGAAGTAAATAAACGTGTACTCACCTGGTATTGGGAATAAGTCAGTTATACCCTTTCCTTCTCAGTGCATTGACATCAATTGGCATATTTTATAGACGTTGTGGCCTGACTAATTAGTAGCCTGTACTAATTATATTTATATAGCAATTTAGGGATGTATTATTGCTCAAAATATTATCCAGAATTTTCAACAATATCCTCTGAAATCCGACTTAGTCTGATATATCAAACAACATGTACAACTTGTCCCATACAATATCCTGGCCCCCACCCAAACACGCTCGAGGATACACATTGTTGGTTGGTTTGTGGTTTAACGCCGCACTCAGCAATATTCCACCTCTATGACGGCGGTCTGTAAATAATCGTCTGGACCAGACAATCCAGTGATTAATATCATGAGCATCGATCCACACAATTGGGATCGATGACATGAATCAACCAAGTCAGCGAGTCTGACCACCCGATCCCGTTAGTCGCATCTTACGACAAGCAAGCATTCATCTGACGATGGTTTTTATCATATATACGGAGTTACGTATTTAGAAGTAATACACCTAAGTGTTGTCAAAAGATACTCGTGTTCAACAACGTTTTAGTTGCAATATGGCGATACAATTTTTTGTAAATTTCAATTTGGTGACTGCCAACAAAAGCACGAGGGTACCACAGGTCACTGCAAGATAACAATCAAGACTGATGGCATCCGTCTCATCTGTCGAGGGGGCGGTCGGGTAGCCTAGTGGGTAAAGCGTTCGCTCGTCACGCCGAAGTCCCGGGTTCGATTCCCGACATGGGGACAAGGTGTGAAGCCCATGTCTGGTGTCCCCCGCCGTGATATTGCTGGAATAGTGCTAAAAGCGGCGTAAAACCATACTCACTCGTTGATCGAGTCCTCTCCCTTTGCTTATTCTAATTTGATACTTGCAGCACAGATATGTGTATGGAATTCGAGACTTCAGTCCAGTCTAGATGTCCTACGTTCTTAGCTCCGTAACAGTCACAACACATGAGTATGACACGCCTGATCCAGCCTTGTTACTGACTTGAGATAGGGGTACTACCTGATTAACTGTTTCTATGTAATAAAAGGAAACAGAACGTCCAAGACGCATTTTCTGTATTTTTCAGATAATGCACTTATATAAAATAGTATATAATAAAATATGATATTTCACTCATAGGGCCTGTTTTCCTAGGACTGGTTATAATTATTAACAGTAGGTTATACATCATACAGCTGCAGTATTTCAAAGAGTTGAATCAAACTTGCCTTGTCTGCCAATTTCTCTGAAATTAGTTCCCTCAAATAGCATATTGTAAAATTGGATCGACTTTTGAACAATTAATTTATTTGAATTATCTAACAGTTTGCTGTTTTTTACAGGTATGGTACTTTAACTAAAACATCAACATACTAAGTAATTGATGTTCTTGAATTTATAAAAGTTGCCTTATCCTTATTTAATGTGGTATGTATAAACGCTACGTTTTGAAATGGAAATTGGAGCAGTTGATCTGTAGCAAGGACATGCCCCGTGGATAATAGTGTCATGGCGGTAGAGTACGGACGCCCTGCACAGTGACCTTGATGACATTCCGTCGTGCCTAGATGACAGGGGCATTTCATCATGCTTTCAGTCACTAGTTTGTCTGGTCCAGACTCGGTTATTTACAGGCTGCCGTGATAAAGCAGGGCTATTATTGGCTGCGGCGTTGAACGACATTCACCCGCCCTAATATGTACGTATACATATGTTGTGCATGATGTGGAAAATCCTTAAAAACAAGGCCCCCAGCCTTGTGCCACAGGACTTACGCTATTAAACCGGCACAAGCAAGCACCGAAACACACACACACACACACACACACACACACACACGCACGCACGCACGCACGCACGCACGCACGCGCGCGCGCGCCGAAACACACACACACACACGTACATGCACATGTCGCTACCGAAATGCAATAACCAGAAACGTGACGTTAACCCCTATCCCCCCACATGAATGTGCCACATAATCCATTACAGACATAGTGGTGATTTAAAGTTTGCTCTTACAGTGTAAGTGTTAATTAACTTTAAAGGGTGTCTGGACACGGAAATTGGTAGTCGTAGCGAGGTTCATTCAGTTGTTTAAACAGATCTTGTTTGCCTGCAAATTCAAATTTAATAATATAGTCATAGCGACCTATTTGGGACAACCATTGTCTAAATGACCATTTATTCCAAAGGCTAATTACTCTGTAGACATGAAATGTATACGTCAAGAATCACTTATGCCATCACTTATAAGATGCTTAATTCATTGTTAATCCCCATTGTATACATACGAGTGGCCCAGTCGTCTAAGGCGCCGCGATTCGCTGTGCAGAGTTGCGTCCCTTGGTTACGCCAGAAACCTATGAGTGTGGGTTCGAATCCCGGTTCGCCCCGATTATGTTTCTCGGTTTGTAAGCACCATACCCGTGCTCGTGGGTTTCACCGAAGTGGTAAACGTCTGAGACCAGCATCACTCCGGGCTTTCCTCCCACCTTAAGCTGACACGCCGTGATATAACTGGAATACTGTTAAAAGCGGCGTTAAACCCAACTCACTCACTCACTGTATATACTGCAAGCCAATTGCTCAATTGCCAACAGTTGTCAATTCCTACCGTGAACCGTAAACCGACGCCTTGCACGTGTATGCAGAAACATCATCAACAATACGTGTGTCTGTAACACATGCATTACCCGTTGTTAATCTGCATCAATCCAGCAAAAAATGACTTCACAGAGTAAACCCAACTGTTTCACACAAGCTCTTTAATACTTAGATCGGGAATCATAATCAACACCAGAGAGTTCAGCAGATGCCCGCTAACCGAAGTCGTTAACATAGTCAAAGGGAGACAACTCTTGCGTAACTGTTACATTAGCCGCTGAAAACTTTCTTGCACTTTACTTGGGTCGGCCATTATGGAAATAATTAACTCGAACGCTTTTCTTGTTTCGTTGCTGTGTGAAACTCACTACAAAAACTCCAGCTGAACCAGGCCGTGAAATTGGAGTATGACCGAGATAACTTGCCTGTGGCATCGTTCTAGTTATGTAACACGCCGGATCTCGTACGTACAGTTTTGACCCGTGAAGAACCGGGGTAGAATATTTTAATAGGTCTTCAGCAACCCATGCTTGCCGTAAAAGGCAACTATGCTTGTCGCAAGAGGCGACTAACGGGATCGGGTGGTCAAGATCGCTGACGATGCATGTCATCGTATCCCAATTGCGTGGATCGATGCTCATGATATCAATCACTGGATTGTCAGGTCCAGACTCGATTATTTACAGACCGCCGTCATATGGCTGTTATATTGCTGAGAGCGGCGTTAAACAAATAAACAAACATACAATTTGTGTACATTCTGGTCGTTATGACAAGATTCGGTGGGAGTTGAGAAACAGTTGAATTAATCTGAATTTAGTTTCCTTGTTAAAAGCACTTCAGGGGAGTTAGGGGAAATTAAAATGTAAGCAGTCATATTACAGAACTTATTACACTCATAACGCTTATCAAACACAAACACAAACAGGCCAGTGTAACATATCTAAAACAGACATATCACGAAATATCCTTACCACGTTCTGTACGTAACACATTTTAAGTATAAAACAGTTTGATTGTTGTATTCAAACCTTGATATCCTCCTAAAATATAAATTGTCAATGCAAGAGAATAAACCACCGAAACAGATTCTATTTGGCGTAAAGGGCAAATAGCTGTGAAAATTATATGAGTGGACCACTGACACACGTGATGACACCAGGTGTTCCAAGCTAACTACATCGAACGACAATTTTGAAACTAGGCGGGTCAACCTGTGAATTAACAAAATATCATGTAACTATAACAAACCACTGAAAGAAGAACATACTAAAGTACTTAAAGTACATTAATGTAGATGCATCCCTAAGTTCCTTGAACACTGTGACGAACCCCTATGTTCAGACACATCTGCATCCTTAGCACATCCACCCGAGATGAGATACATCCACATCCTACAGCAACCGCTGACTCACATCCAGCAAAAGGAAGCAACAACCCCGATGGCGAGGTCTGTGTCAACGTATCACGTCTCCAAACTCCGCACAATGCAGTCACGACAGGATGTCAACAACTTGACCCGAACACTGCACGAGCTTTCCCTGAAGACTGCAACCACAGTATCCGTCTTCTGGGCCATATGACGTCGGACTGCATCCTAGAAAATGGTGTTGCTTCTCTTAAATGTAACATCTGTTTGTCCATCAGCCTCAGTCTCTACCATTAACTATTGTATCCTGTCATATATGTTTTGAAGAATACATTTTCGATCACTGCTTCAATAAAATGTTTTTGTTTCTGAAAGGGATGTGACGTTGAGGAGGCCTTGTGGTTAAACGTTCATGTGCCACGCCAAAGGCCCGGGTTCGTTTCTCCTCTATGGTACAATGTGTTAGACCTTATCTCGGGTGTCCCCACCGAGATATTGCTGGAATATTCCTAAAACGGCGGAAAATCATACTCACTCACTGAAAGGAATCCGCGTCACAATGTAACGTTCTTTACAACACATTTTCCCCATAGTAACAAACATTTCCATCGCGAAGTTAGTTTTTGGTCATAAACTGGCGTTACACTGCAATTCACTTGCAGAGTTGTCTACCTTAGACATCCCAGAAACCTATGATCTTTGGTTCGAATCCCAGATTTGCAATGATTATGTGTTTTGACTCATCAGCACTATATCCATATCGTGGCATTCGCCAACGTTGTAACGTCTAAAAACCTGCACCACTTCGATTTTCCTCACCCATCAAGCTAACACGCCTTTAACTGATATACTGTTCAAAGCGGCGTGAAACACAAATCACTCCAAAGTATACAACTCTGTTATGAAATCATTATCTTCACAAACTGTAAATCGAATTTTGACGCGTTAAACTTGACGTCACTTTCGTGAAAAAGCGCAAATGTCGTAATATATGACATTATTTAAGTTGACAATACATACTTCAGGCGTTTCTTTAGTAAAATACGTTGCTCTCTCTCTCTCTCTCTCTCTCTCTCTCTCTCTCTCTCTCTCTCTCTCTCTCTCTCTCTCTCTCTCTCTCTCTCTCCAACGCGTAGGACGTTGCTAATAATATCAGTCATCTGTTTGTTGGGTCCAGATTTGATTGGGTTCACAAAGACCATGAACCCTAACAAAATTAGAGTGACTATTTCAAAGAACACATGTAACTCCCGCCATGCAACAGTGTCATAACTAGAACCGTTGTCAACAACAAGTATTGTTGCGACTTAACTCTTTCATGCTCCTCTCGTTAACATTCACAATATCTGTTCTGAACTATTCACTAGTGAGTGGTTGTTACCTGTCGTTTCCAGGTGAGCACTGTCCTACTGACGCCTGTAATATCCAGGCAAGGCGAGGGCTGACAAAGGCCTACTATTTGAAGTGTATTGGTGTGCTCCAAATGGTCCAACAGTGTATGTGCGTTTTGGCGCGTGGTGGGCACGTTCGTCTTTGGGTGACCATATGCATCCGGCATAGTCAGGATATCACCATCTGTCTGAAGGTAATCAGTCATATCCGTGTGTGTAGTGAGTGAGTGAGTGAGAATGTTTTAACGCCGTTTTTAACAGTATTCCAGTTATATCACGGCGTGCCACCTTAATGTGTGTGGAAAGACTGACGCAATGCGGGTGTTACACGTTTACCACTTCGGTGAAACCCACGAGCACGGGTATGGTGCTGACAAACCTAGAAACATAATCTGGGCGCACCGGGATTCGAACTCACGATCATAAGTTTCTGACGTTTCCTAGGGTACCAGCTTGGACTTAGTCGCTTAGACGCGCCAGAAACCTTTAAATGTGGCTTCGAATAGAGGCTTCGACGTGATGACCTTACTAGGTTTGTCAGCACCATATCCATGAACGTGGATTTCAACGAGTTAAATGCCAGAAGACTTCGGAATTTCCTCCAACACCTAGAATATCTGCGGTGATATAACCTAACTTACTTATTTTTTTATAGTAGTACTATCCCATTTTATTGAAGTCAATCAAAACCTGTTTTATACATCTATCCACGCAATTAATGAGGTGAGGTGAAATTGGGTTTAACGTCGCGTCCAAGATTATTGCACTTATATAGCGACACTTATAGCATGCACGTGTGTGTGTGTGTGTGTGTGTGTGTGTGTGTGTGTGTGTGTGTGTGGCTGCTTGTACTAGTCCAGACTGATGCCGATTTATAGTGCTAGCCCACTGAGATACCATGCCGCTGTTTAACATGAATATCCCACTCAGACACAGTATACTGACTCCGAGCCGACCAGTCCTTGTTTTACCCCCTTTAATGCCGAGCGCCAGACAGGGTAACATCTTTTAACATCTTTTGGTATGACGCGGCTGGGGATCGAACCCCGGACCTTCCGCTCTCCGGGCGGACGCTCTACCACTAGATCACGGAGGCGGTCCGCAATTAATGAATGAATATGAACATGAGTCGAGTAAGGGCGCTCTCACTTCCCAGAAACAGTGCCACACGCGGCCGAGAGTGTATTAGCCATGCCCTCCACAATCTACATCGTCATACAACCGCATGACACATTTCCACATTAACACATTTCCACATTAACACTTTCCACGTACCACATTTCCACATTAACACATTCCCACATTAATCCATTTCCACATTAACACATTTCAACATTTCACATCAACATATTTCCATATTACCACTTTTCAGCGTACCACATTTCCACATTAACACATTCCCACATTAATCCATTTCCACATTAACACATTTCCACATTTCACATCAACATATTTCCACATTAACACTATAACTTATTTCCACATAACGAATTTCCACATTGACACATTAACACATTTCAACATAACACGTTTCAACATACAGTAAACTACGGTTATAACGAACTCAAAGAGACCTCTAACTTTCGTTTGTTATAACCGTAGTTCGTTAAAAGCATATATACAGCATAACTACAGCAAATAGTCGGGACAAAAAAACCCAGCTTACACACACAGAGAAGTATACAGTGGCTAGAGCTTACAAATGGAATGTACATACACTGTTCGTCTTTCTGATGATAAGAAACATTCAATAGAAATTTACATGCAGCGAAATACAATCATATTGCATATTCATTGAAATATAAAGCTCAGCTGCCTAAATGTGTATAAAAGCAATATCACACATTTAAGATAATGGAGCAGATTATCTAGATACATCAATGCATGTGCATACAATGTATAACGCTCGAGTGCCTAAGTAAACACAATCTGGGTTACCGTATATAAGTATAACAGTACATGGTCGCATTATCAGCTGTGTACACTAAGGCTCAAGAACTTGCAATTGAAGACGCTCACTAATCTGGATAATACGCCTACACGCATATACGACACACAGGGGCATTGACACAAGGTATTATAACGGCTCCACAGCCTGAGAAACCGACCCATACACCCGTATATACACTGCATATGAACATTATCGCCTCTGTATTATAACGGCTCGCAGGTCGACTGTACGACAACAACCTTGGTCTTCTCCTGTTTTGTTTGTTTGTTGTTTAAAACACTCAGCAATATTCCAACTTTATGACGGCGGTCTGTAAATAATCGAATCTGGACCAGACAATCTAGTGATTGATATCATGAGCATCGATCCACGCAATTGGGATACGATGACATGCATTAACCAAGTCAGCAAGCCTGACCATCCGATTCCGTTAGTCGCCTCTTACGACAAGCATTGTCGCCTTTTACGGCAAGCATAGTCCCCTCTTACGGCAAGCATAGTCTCCTCTTACGGCAAGCACAGTCGCCTTTTACGGATCTTCACGGGTCTACAAACATTTGCTACCAAGAAGTACCTCCCTACAAACATTATAGTGGCTCTCCAGCATGACGACAAGCATTTGCCATACATAGCAGGCTGACAACGCCCAGCGTCTTGAAACATTTGAAACATACAGAACAAAATTAGGCATTTACACCATAAGTATCAGAACACACATAATAAACTAATGGAAAACGTAACCCTGATTCATTCAAAGTGGTGTAAATGTTATATTATTGAGCTAACAACATTATTTGTGATTCGTCCGAACATTCGTATTGCTGGGCGTCGGGGTCGCGTGTTGTGCTTTCTCAACCCTTTGCGTACTGTTCTGCCAATAATTGGTCTCAATCTAGGAATTGTTTGAGCTGTTAAAGTCACAGCGTGGTATCGATTCATGCACCAACGGAATATGGTTGTCTTGTTGCCGTGTCGTACCACGTGGGCGACCGGCGCGTGGCAAGTCATGGGTGTTGCCTTGTCGCTGAAGATCACAACCTTCAAGTCGAGGAGATGTCTTCATGAATACATATTACTGGATGCATTATTTAATCTTAAAATAAGTATGGCGAAACTGCCACCCGAACCCACGATCTTGCATCTCCGAATAGGGAATTGTGGCGCACGAAACGAGACATGTGCTCAATATACGTGTTAGGTATATCTACTGTAGAAACATTCAAAGCGGTTCCTTCCTCTCTGAAAGTTTCTTCTGGAAGTAATTTGGAAATTTGTCACAAGTGGAATCTCTTCTTCATATGTTTATAGATATATAGATATAATTTCAATATTACTTTCAAGAATTATTTTATATTCCAGGTAGTGGAACTTACAAGCATGGCGACTCTCGACGAGAAAATGTGGAGAAAAACAACTAAGAAAAATGAGATAGATGTGTTGTGTGCAGTCAACATGTCATCAGACGTACAATTCACGTTTGATGCAGGAGTAGAGAATAAAAACAAAAACACGATTCTACATTGTATAACCGTGGCAACCGTCTTGAAGGAAAATAAACAATATTACATAGAGCTATTTGACACAATACTTGAAGCCTACATACAATGGAAGCTACGAAGTGAGACGCAAGACAGTGCAGAAGACGTTAGGTATAGGGCGATCCAGCACATCACCACAGGGGTGGAGAACAATCAGAAGCTATCAGTTCTGCATCTTGCATTGAAGAAAGGATGTGTTGACATTTCAAAGAAGATTCTTCAAATGGAGAACATAAACTGCTTTAACTTTCAAAAGGGGATACGTGAATATAGAGATAGGAAACGAGTCACAGGAAAGTTCTATGATGTGACCCACATTCTCCCGCTCGGAACTTGGAAACCATCGCAAGAAATCACCAGCAACAGAGTTGAACCAGAAGACCCACAGTCATTCATGACCAACTTTGGAAGACCAAAACACTTACACGTTCTAATGAACTTTAAAACCTTAGATCTGGATCCCGTGAAAGAAATAATCAGCATTTATGGTTCAGTGATATACTGGATATATATGCCCTGGACACTCATGCATGTCTTGCACATCAGTTTCTTCACATATACTGGTATTTCGCTCTTGGGTATGAAGCTTGACGCAGGCAACACCCAATCAGGTTCAGGGACTCTTCTGGAAGGCGTTCTGTATTTCCTTGTTCCACTTGAACCTGCCTTGTTCTTCTTCTGGTTTATATACACGGTGATCAGCCTCTCAATCCAGGCATTCAGATATTCAATAGGGTCTTCAAGTTTGATACCAATGTTAAGCAGAACAATTTTCTCGATCTTCAATTTTGGATATTGTGTTCTGGTATTTGTGTTTTTAGATGCATATCGCAAGGATGGTCCCGACCAACACATCCTCCTCTCAATTACCCTGTCCCTTGGTTGGTTGATGACTTTGGAATTTGCGAGGGGTTTTCAACAGTTCCACTATTTTCAAGACATAGTCTGGTTTGTTGTTTTCTCGCTTGTAACTTTTATGCTTGTATGTGTCATCTTTCTTCTTGCCTTCACCTGTGCGTTCCACGTGCAGATACAACTGACATCAAGCGGTATGAGTTTTGGATCCTCTATGTTTAAATTGTTCCAAGCCCTTATTGGAGAAGATGCGATATTTTCTGATGAATTTGAAGCATCCATCGCGAAATTTGGGGGTTCAGTCGTGTACTTGAAGATTATGTTCATCTTCTACTCGATACTGTGCACTATTATCTTTCTCAACTTTGTAATAGCAACTGTAAACGATGTATATTCGGCTCTGGTCAAACACAAAAGACATCTGTGGGCAAGCCATTCGTTGATGCTTGGGGTGTATCTACATCTTTGCTTGCCCTGGCTGGTGAACATGGTTATCAAACGAAAGATTAAACACGGTCCTCTGGGTACAGATCTTGGTCTACATACAGGAGTACGCTGGTTCGTTGCTGTCCCGGACGTAACAAGGGGAACAGGTCCTGAAACCGATATACTTGAACAGGTGGATATTTCTCAGCGACTTGACAAAATAGAAGAACGACTACACAAACTGGAAACTGTAACACGTCGACTTGACAAAATAGATGACAGTCTTCAAAGAATAATCAAATCCATCCGACCTGATGAATAAGTATTTTATGACTTGGCTTCTTAAAGATTTATCATAAGCATATTTGAACATGTTTGGGTTTTAAACATGTTAAAGTTTAGAATATAAACACGTTGAAACATTTTTCGAACTCAAACACATTTAAAGTTAAAACATGTTTAGAATATTAAAATATATTAAAATATGCAAATGAAATTCACACTGTCAGGCACTTATAACAGGTCAGGTCATAACAGATATACCACCAGGACTTCAACGAACTAAGGACAATATTAACATAAAAATGTACAACTTAACAGAACTCGGCCAATGGTGACTTGGTAAAGTGACGCTTGTGATGACAACAGTTTCCGTAGAGTAGGCGGTAGCGTGAAGGACAAGAGATCAGGAGGTTGGAAGTTCGTATTCCGTGGAGGTTTATAAGTCTACGTGTTCATAAATGTGACGTTGCTATATGACCAATTCCCCTACCTAAAGCTGACAATGAAAGTTACACCTGATTACTACGATAGATCCTTAACTAATATTAGTTACCAACACCCACACCCACACCCACATAGCTGGTACCCCTCCCACCCACACCCCTCCCTCCCCCACTCACTTCAGTAACCCCATTAAACGCTACTCAACACATAAAGAACACCCTCTTTTCAAATTACCTACAATGAATTTCAAGCGGGGTATTCACATTTGGACCCTAAACATGTTTAGCTGTTAAACATAATACTAAACATGTTAAGACCTAAACATGTTCATATTTTGGGACAAGGGACGTGTTTAAGTTTGTGTTTGGGATCTAAACACATTTTGGACAGTGTGCGCAAATGGACGTTTCTGTTATTTCTAGGTATAAAGAAATATCTCCATCGGATGCAAAAGTGGTATGTCATCGAACACGTCGGTATAGATATTCGCCTATTAGTATCTCGTCTCCATTAATTAACATGTGAGACGTTGCAAGAACTGTTGACTTCAACCAAATACGTATTATTTTACTGAAATCGGTAAGAGTGGCGGGTATACCGGTAAAGCAGGACATCCTTTCTGCGAACACATGGTGTTGTGACTGTGATCTGTGATCCATTCATGTAATGTTCACCATTATTTTCCCTTTTTCTCCCAATTGAATCTGTATCGGTAGATAATAGAGACAGGTGTTCTCTGGTGTCTATGGTTCATGCTTACAGAGACAACACACACAGAGCTTAACAACATAGAGCTATGGAGACACATTAGGCCAGTCGATTTCTCATGTCTTAATACCCGTTTATGTCCATAAGTAATAAAACGGCATTTAAAGGGGTAATGTCAGATCAGATATATTCAAACATATTCAGCATCGGTCCCATATAATGCATCTCTGTCATTATGCATGGCAAGTCATTGAGGGAAATGTATGACATCCGTATTGATCATCTTCAGAATTGCCGTATTTCAAAAGTTTGAAATAGACGTACATGTAGGAATGGTTACATTTCCGAAATGGTTGTATTCACGCTCCATGTTCATATTGTTAATGCCTTGTTTTGGTACTTTGGTACTTTCAAACTTATTTTTGATCACTTATTTCTCTTTTTGGGTACAAGCACACTCTGTGGGTATTGACACATTTCAAGAGGAGAATAAATGGACAATATTAATACGTTACCTACAACACATCATGAGTGCTGTGTAAACATTGTTTACTATCTATGTCTTACCTATGTCGACAGGTTGAGGGCCAGCAACAGAGAATACTACACTCATTCCTTTTTTACGATTAGATAGACAGATACGATAGAAAAGGGTATCTAACTAGAATAAGCGTGGTATTTTATTTATTACCCACGTTAAATGTGTATTTTGGTGTATATAAAATGAAATAAAATGTGTCGGTCACTGGCACCGACGGCGTCCAAGCTGTGCAGTCAAATGTGTTCTGTGTCCTTCCTCTATCAGCTGAAGTGGAAGAGGGAAATCAGAATGCTCGCCAAAGACGTTTATGTCAACTCTACGCCCTAAGACGTGAAAATCAACAACCTCAAGTCGGCTTGCATGTCAGCGACAGCTTTGAACGAAGGGCAAGGTCACCATCGGAATAAAAAGAGAACCGCGATCTACTCACGGCGTTTGACGCTAGAGATCAATAGGACATGTAATTGTTTGGGATGTTTTGGGCCAGAAAAAACAGAAGTTAGGCACACTTCCACGGAGTTATCGAATGGTTTGTATCGGAACTATTGACTCCGAGCGATCTGGTCGTGCAGTCGTGTATACTCATTCATGAACAAACACCTTCGGAATGCGACAAAATACTCTTCGCAACCGGAGCATCCAACGTCAGTGTAGATATCTGTCCAGATAGTTAAACTGAGTTCAATTCACCACGCCTAACCTTTCACGTTAGATAAAATTGAAAGTCGCGAAAGTTGTCGGATGCGTCACGATCATAGGGACCCTCGATCTATCGGTCGTCGTACAATGCAAATGGATACAGCTTGATTACTAGTATATAATGTCTGTAGAAGCTCTATACATGACTGATATCGAATGCAAGCGAATTTGATGCGTGTGACTATCGTGTTCGGTTCAATAAAGTGTTCGTAATTGTCTTTCGCTTTCATGAGATTCCTTCAGTTCTGTCTTGTAGTTGTAGTTGTAAAAGTGAACGACCTCTCGTGCTTTTATATTAATAAAAAAGTAGTGCCGGTGTGACAGGGGTCACGGTTATCAAATCAAAACGAATAAATCGAGGTCAGCCTTGTACGACACACGTGTGACATACGGACGTAGTATCCTACCGCCTGTGTTTTCACCACGTGGGTAATAATATCATATAATTTCCATACTTGCATTGTGAATAGGCAGTGACCTTGTTGAAATGATAAGAATTTGTTAACATTATCACCAGGCCATTAGTGTCCACCTCTGTGATATTGCTGGAATATTGCTAAAAACGGCGAAAAACCATACTCACTCACTCACTCAGAACATGAGGATTCGGTTAGCGATTCGTACATTGTTTTTGTAGATGTATAATTTAGTTAGAATGAAAATCCGGTTGAGAACGTCATTTCGAGTTTTCTAAACTTATTGGCATCATACGCACATCTACCATACTAAGATCCTCAACGTATGTATAACTACTAACCTCATCTGTATATGAATGTTTCTGTACTAAACACTACCGTGTGAAGAGATGTCGGGTTGCATGCTTGCACACTACAGTAAACTACGGTTATAACGAACACGCTTATAACGAACTGACGGATATAACGAACTTACTTTTGGTCCCGACTACTTGCTGTAGTTATGCTGTTTATGTACTAATTACGAACTACGGTTATAACGAACTAAAATTAGTAGTCCCTTTGAGTTCGTTATAACCGTAGTTTACTGTACTATGTTTAAACGTTGTTTCTTCGTACACAACAGTGCTGATTTGTTCTAGACAATGATATTTAAGCCAATGTTTTCCTACCTATCCCACCCTGGAATCACGTTATTTCCATATTTTCAAACACTTGGTGTATATATGATACAGAAAACATACAGAAAGCGCACAAGTGAGTGAGTGAGGTTTAACGCCACTTTTAACAGTATTTCAGTTATATCGCGCCGTGTCAGCTTAATGTGGGAGGAAAGCCCGAAGTGATGCAGATCTCAGACGTTTACCACTTCGGTGAAACCCACGAGCACGGGTATGGTGCTGACAAACCTAGAAACATAATCGGGGCGAACCGGGATTCGAATCCACAATCATGGGTTTCTGGCGTGCCCAAGGGACGCAACTCTGCACAGCGAATCGCGGCGCCTTAGACGACTGGGCCACCCATGCCCCCCTGTCTGAACAGGTGATTCATTGGGAATATAATGTATGTATAATTATAAAGGAATATAAAGAGGATATTTCATATATCACGTGACACATGGAATATCCAAACCTATATATTCTACCAGATTTTTTCCCATTACAAATGTGAAACCTTGAAACATAAATTCTCCCTAGCTAACACCCTGGGACGTTTCACCACCCATTGAGTATAGGCTTGTCATCTTCTGACACTTGAGTGAGTGAATTTTACGTCATAACGGCACCAGATCAGTCTTATATTGACGAGAACAGTTGATACATAATCACTATTAAGTTCAAATAAAAGAGGGAATGTTTCAACTTTCAAAAGGTCAACCTTTCACCTATGTCGAGCAATATTCCAGCAACTCCAGCCTATGATGTCTACATTTTACAACTTGTTGAGGTACCATCGAGCATGCTCATTCTACAAAGGCGGTATACGACCCTTGCCCAAAAGGTAACGCGGTAAAGTTTTCAAACATTTCCGAAAGACACACAAATGATGCAATATGTTAATTATACCATATGTCCCATGTGTTTGTTTTTCAGGTAAGCAACTGAGGGTTTTGTCTTGATTTTCATATAGGTTTGTCATGATTAGATATGATTAGAAACCCTTTAATTGATATCTATAGTGCAACGCTAAAACTTATAAAGGATTTTGAATTGTCTTGTCGCTACACCGAGCAACTAGGGGTAAATCACGGATATTGCCAGCCGATTTAGCGCTTGTACACATCCTTTGAGTTATAAAATATACCTCGGTCGTAATTTAAAGGCAATGATAAGCGAAAGCTGTGGTCACTTGGCTCCCCAGCATGCCTTAACAATATGATGTTTTACTTTGATGTACAGATAAAGTGTATTACTGCGTATATATCTAAACTATCTATAAATGAATATGTTCATCAATTATGTTTTATGTTATGGCTGAGTGGTTTTATCATCTCTCAAAAATCGTCTGTCTGTCTTTATGTGCTCCTCCTAGTCCTACCCCCATGAGATGCTCCTGAGATGAACCAGCTAGATGATGAGTCGCAAGCCAATATGCCCAGGATGTTTGTGGCATCTGTGTGATGGTGTTTCGTCATCATCAAACGATTGCTCGCTGTCTGCGTCCATCTGCACTCTCGTCCTCCGTACGCCGTGACCACGTGACCACGTGACCATATGTCAGCGAGACTACGCAGGAAACGTCGCATGACCGATGCGGTTCAAGTGACGTCTTCTACTGTATCCGTTATCGTGTTATCAAACTTAATGTATTGACAGTTGTCCAATAACAATGACACAATGGGCCATCACGCGAGTGAATGAATGCGATTTTGCGCCGCCCTTGGTAATATTACAGCAATCTTCACAGTGGCGACCAGAAGAATAATGCCCTCAGCCCCCCCCCCCCCCCCCCCCCCCCCCCCCCCCGTACCCCATGCTTGTCATAGGAGCCAACTACCACTAGGGGGAGAGGGGAGGGGGTAGCCTAGTGGTTAAAGCGTTCGCTCGTCACGCCATCGGTACAAAATGTGAAGCCCATTTATGGTGTCCCCCGCTTGTTATTGCTTGAATATTGCTACAAGCGACGTTAAACCATACGAACTAATGCAGAAGGGGTGAAAACAGTGTGTTTGTGTTTGTGTTCCTGGTCTTACCTGCGGTAACCGCATCTCTGATAAGCTTCC